ACCAGGCTCAAGGTTGACTCAGCCTTCCATCCTTTCAAAGTCAGTAAAATGAGGAGCCAGATTGTTGGGGGACAATATTCAAACTCTATAAATAACTTAGAGAGGGCTCTAAAGCACTGTGAAGCGGTGTATAATTCTAAATGCTATTGCTAATGCTATTTATTAATGATATTCTAATGCAACACATAGATTTATTCAAACATATTTGGTTATAGTGAGTGAGAAATTAATGTTAAAATAGATTTATTGCTAGAAAATAACTTATTAGGGTAGGACTGAAGGTAAAGTGTTCAATGTATCTTTTCCTTCTCTTATTCCGCTGAAGGCTTAATAGATCCATTTTCAAAACACAGTTTTTTTCACAATGTGGTTTTTATTATCACAAAACTAATTGCTGCCTATAAATACATTTCTTTCAAACTGTCTTCTCAAGACGATTCAGCTGTTTATGTTTCAAATTATATATAGACTGGAAATAAAGACTTTTACACTGGTGGATAAAATAAACCTGTGAAGATTTGATATGTTATGTGTTTCAGTCTTGATTAATATAGAACCCTCCAAATGTGTTGAGGCTTTTAGTTCCTAAAATGATTAGCTAAAATCATCTGGAGCATTGTGATGTCATCCAACAGGTAGTTCTTAACTTACTACAGTTCATTTAGTGACTGTTCAAAATTACAATGGCACTGAAAAAAATGATTTATGGCAGTTTTTCACACGTATGATCATTGCAGCATCCCCATGACTGAAATTCAGATGCTTGGCAACTGACTCATATTTATGACGATTGCAGTGTCCCAGGATCTTCTGACAAGCAAAATCAATGGGGAAGTCACAGGGGTGGGATTCAATTTTTTTAACAACCTGTTCTGTGGGCGTGGTTTAATTTGTGGGTGTGGCCTGTTTGTCATGTGACTGGGTGGGTGTGGCCAACTCAGTCACTCATGTCAAGGGGTGCCTTGCCTGGCCCCTCCCCTCCCAGCCATTCCTTGTCACATCCAGCCTCAATGTATCTATAGGTCTATAAAAATGTTGTCCACCTTACTTTCATGGACCACTGAAAGGAGGAAATGGCTCGCATGCTTTGCCCAAGAGTGTGATAGGAGCTGCTTCAAAGAAGTGGGGGACAATGTATTTTCCAAAGAAGCAGAAGGCAAAACAAGAAGCAATGGATGGACACTGAACAATGAGAGAAGCAACCTAAAACCTAAGGAGAAATTCCTGACAGTGAGAACAATTAACCAGTGGAACTGCTTGTCTCCAGAAGTTCTGGGTGCTCCAACACTGGAGGTTTTTAAGAAAAGACTGGACAGCCATTTCTCTGAAATGGTACAGGGTTCCCCCCCCCCAACCCCTTCTAAGTGTTATTCTGTTATGCTGATACCTTTCCCAGGCCCTCCACTCAGATAAAAATTGTGGCTGTTATCTTGTCCCAGGTAATCCTATATTCTCAAAATATCTGGGATAAGGAGCTAAACACTACAAAAGCTTCCATACAAAGTTTCTTTATTGGATTATATCAGGCATCCTCAAGGTATAACTCACAACTATGCCGAGATTCATCTAATGTCCAATCTTTGCATTGTTGTTTTCATAGTGTGAAAAGATAGTTATCTTCAACCCATAACAATACAGCAAGGGAAGACTCCAGCATGATGCTGGGTATTATTATTTTTTTAGTATTTATTTGATTTGTCCATCGCTTACAAGATACAGCTTTTCTATTAATGCGTAATCCTTAAAAGGGCTCTCCTGTTGGGATCATGCATGGTCTAATTCAGAAGTCCCCAACTTTTCTGGCACCAGGAACTGGTTTCATGGAAGACAATTTTACCATGGACCTGTGTGTGTGTGAGAGAGAGGAGTAGGAGGGAGGGAGGGAGGGAGGAGGGGGGAAAACAAGTATACAATTTGGGAAAGAGGCACAGACAGAAGTGGTAAATTAAGTAGTGGGTGGGCCAGGCATGGAGTAAAACAAGTGTGGGGTGGTTACTTAAAGCCTGCCTCCAGATGATTTTGCTCCAGTCCAGGGCAAAATCAGAATAAACATATAGGGAAGACTTCACTAGAAAGGGCTTTCTTTTGCTCCTGGAGAAAATCAGAATAAAGAACTGGAAAAGCCTTCACAGGAAGAGGCTCTCTGCTTTTGCTCCAAAGGAAACCCCCAAACAAAGACATGGGGAAGCAGAAAGAGGGAATGACCACCACCTGCACTTTTCAATGGTTCAGCACCGTGATTCCCTTCCAGATTAGACCTGTGACTGCCTGCTTCTAAGAAAGTGGAAAGGAAGGTGGGGAAGAAGGGACAATTCTAACTCACCCTTCCAGCAAAACAAACTGAATATCCAGCACGTTGAGGAACTACTGAGAAAACTATTCAAAAGAGAGGAGGGGGAGGGAGAGAGAGAGAGAGAGAAAGAGAGACACCAGACCAACTCAGCCAGCAGTCTTAGAAAAGGTGCAAATGAGAATGGTTCCATCGGAGACACAGTGCTTAAGAGGGGAAAAATAGTTTCTCCCCTCCCCCATTCCAAGCCTGGTCGGAACAGGCTTGCAAAGCTGCATGAGAAAGAAAAGTGCATGAGCCTTGCTTCCGTGCCAGGAGGGGGAGAGGAGGAAAGTGAGGGAAAAGAGGAGAAAGAGATAGCAGGAGAAAGAGACCTTAGTCATGCGTGTGCGCGCGCACACACACACACACACACAAACTTCTGTGCTGCTCAGCTGCAAATAAAGTGCAAACTAGCTCCTTTTTTGGCAGGTTTGTTGTTTTTTTCAGCCTGAAGCCTCTCATGATATTTTCCTCTCCACTGTCACAGCGCTGGGCTGCAAGGAGGGGGAGACATTAGGTGCGCATACACACACACACACACCATGGGTTGGAGAGGTGAGTTGAGAGTCATGCAGAGGTCCATCAGGCATAGATGCAACAACAGGGGAAGGGGATCAAAATGGGAAGCCTCTGCCCACTTAAAACCCTGCCCCCAGAACTTCCCTTTTTGTCCACCTTCTCCTCCATTGCCTCAATGCCTAATGCCAAAGGACAGTTCTGCTTCCACCCCCTTCCCCATTGCAATGCCAGAAGCTGCACGCCACCAATGTTTGCTTTCCGCTCCTCCCCCCCAGAGCCATTGCGGCTTGTGATCTCCTATGGCTACTATTGCCTATGATACGCTGGCAGGCAGAAGCCCCCTGGGTTCCCCATGCCCTCTCCTTCCTCCCTCTTTCTTCCTCCATGCACAGGTAGTGGTGTTACTTTCCCACCTGGGGGTGGGATGATCCCAGGGAAAGGCCAACATGGGGCATGGAGGCATTGGCACCACTTGTGGCCAGACTTAAATGCTGCTGCCTCAGCCCTGCCCCCTGGGCGTGAGTGCAGGAGGCTCCAAGCGCGAGAAGGCTGGGCTGGCAATGCATCCCGGGTGAAGGGCAGTGCTCAGCAAGCAGTCCTCAGGGACGCCAGGTCCTGCGCACTTGCCACCTCCTGTGTGCATGCCCAGAGGGCGGGGCCAAGGCAGCACTGCAGATCTAAGGCTGGGCCTGGGTGAGGAACCAGAGAGCAGCCTGGGCTGCAGGCATAACTCTAGGCCAGCAGCCAAGGCAAGATAAGGAGTGGCTGGGAGGGGCCAGGTGAGGTAGGGCAGGGCCAGCCAATGGCACGATTTGCTGGTTCTCCGAACTGCACAGAATCATAACAGGGGGTTCGCCCGAACCGGTCCAAACTGGTAAAATCCCACCCCTGGGAAGCCAGATTCACTTAACAACCATGTTACTAACTTAACAAATGGAGTGATTCACATAACAAATGTGGCAAGAAAGGTCATAAAATGGAGCAAATCTCATTTAACAGTTGTCTCACTTAGCAACAGAAATTTTGGGCTCAGTTGTAGTCTTAAGTTGAGACTACCAATATTCCCTATTTTGACTATCTATAGTTCTGGTCTTTTTAAACATAGGTTTTTATAATGATATATAAAGTAATATATCAGGGCCTAGAACTAGAATTGTAATAATATCTGCTGCTAAAGGGAGCTATGATAACTTTTGATTGATGCAATGGTGTTTGAGCATTGTGCAGCAATTATAGTATGTGCACGATCACTGTTATTCATTGTGAACATATATCAGGAGTAATTGAATAGGAGGCATGAGCATCTCCGTATCAGCATATATGTACTTCGGTTTTTCATTTTCTTTCCTTGAATAGGGAAAGCAAGTGGGGACATTAAATGGTTAGGTTTCTTTCGGAGAGATAGCTCTGATGACCACTGGCATTGTTATCTTTACATTTTTAAATGTGGAGCAGACCTAAGGAATGAGAGACCAAAATCCAAACATATTCCTATTAAAAATTTATCTGGATCATATTGAGAGTCTCATTTTATGGCCTGGATTTAGAGAAATGGGCAACTTTATTACAGCTAGCATGTTTACTTCCATTTTTATCTTTTTTTTTCCCTCTGAAAACTGTAATAACCCTGATGGTGACATTATGACACATGAATGTTCACGAGAACAGGAATCTAACCTGCACAAACATTACTGAAACAAGTTTACCACTATAATGTAAAGAAGATTTATGAAGGAAGTACATGACAGGAATAGACAAAGTCTGGCTCATCTATAAGTATTGTACATCCTATTAGAAGAAGAAGAAGAAAACAAGGTGCACACATACCTGAAAACAAAGCAGAAAGAAGGACCCTGAGTGTTACAATTTTATGTAGCAAGAGCAGGCAGAGAAATCAAGCAAAATTTATAATTCTTCAACCATACCAGATTGCTCTTTCTGAATGACCAAAGTGGAATTTTGAAGCTTTTCTTGGGGGAGGAGAGGGATTTGCCTTTTCCCCATCTTTGTCTATAGTTAAAAATATTTATTTATTTATTTATTTGAGTTGTCAATTGCTTACAAGATAATAGGTATAAGTATAAACATGAGTAAGAATACAGGAAATAGGTACAAATAAATGGGGGCAATAGGACAGGGATGGTAGGCATGATTCTGCACTTATGCACACCCCTTACAGACCTCTTAGGAATCGGGTGAGGTCAATAGTGGATAGTTTAAGGTTAAAGGAGTGGGGTTTGAAGATGTAACAACAGAGTCAGGTAGTGTATTCCAGGTATTGACCACTCTGTTGCTGAAGTCATACTTTCTGCAATCAAGTTTGGAGCAGTTTACATTGAGTTTGTATCTGCTGTGTGCTCTTGTATTGTTGCGGTTGAAGCTGAAGTACTCATTGACTGGTAGGACATTGTAGCAGATAATTTTGTGTACTACGCTTAAGTCCAACTGTAGGCAGCATAGTTCAAGATTGTCCAAGGCCAAAATTTAAAGCCTGGCAATATAGGGTATTCTGTTGCGAGCAGAGGAGTGTAGTACACTTCTCATGAAATACTTCTAGACTCACTCAATTGTATTAATGTCCGATATACAGTGTGGATTCCAGACAGATGAGCTGTATTCAAGTATTCGTCTAGCAAAGGTTTTGTATGCCCTAGTTAGCAATTCAATATTACCAGAGGAGAAGCTTCATAAGATTAGATTTAATCTTCAATTTTTGAAGAAGCAAAAAGACCCTTAATGTCTTTTTGGCAATGCTGTTACAGTGAGCTCTGGCATTTACGTCATTTGATATGAGTACTCCAAAGTCCTTAACAGAGTGAGGGTCATCAACGAGGTCACAGCCACCTAGCTTGTATTTGGTGTACTGATTTTTTTACCAATGTGTAGGACAGAGCATTTGTTGGTCGAGA